TTTTTGTCGTATGTAGGTTTTAAATAACCCTGTTTACTGATAGAATTCGTCTTTATATTAATGAGACGATGATAAAACTGTGGTATCCCAAATAGTTTTCTTGATTTTTATCCATCATACATTTCTAAATTTAAGAATAAGATATTGAGCTTTTGTTACAAACTCTGATGATCTAATCCCAATATCTTTGCAACCCAATGTTTTAGACCTGTGATATTTAAAATCAAATAATTTAACTTTGAAATATCAAAGGATAACATCATCAGGTTGCAAAGATAGAGAGATTATAAAATTTAATTTTGTGGCAAAGACTCAATTCCTTTACTAAAGAATATATGTTAAGTTATAGAATTAAGTGAGAAAGAAAAGAAAAGTAAATATTGTAAGTGTGTACTTGTACTGTACTAACATTTCCGAACCCTGCCCTGCTGATTAACATACGAGTATATATGTACATAACATATTTTTATAATTTTCATGTTAGCTAGTTAAAAAATACATCGTTATACATAGAGAACCACAGAAAACTGCGGAATATAATGACGACATTAAAGTAACACATGAAGTGAATTCTATTCCAGAGGTGTAATGTTCTCCCTGTATCCTGTATGCTACCTAGACAAACACTGTTTTTTTTCGCTAAAGAACATTTTTGTTTACGATAACTTAACATAGTCAGTTCTTACAGTCTCTGTAACTTATTTAACTGGTGCAAAAAATTTTTTGGTCTTTATTAAAACAATCAAATAGGTCGAGTGACATAAAAAGTTAGTGAAAGCATTCTTTGATTCAAATTTAAATCTTAAATCCTGAAATATAGATCTTCGAAACAGGCAGAGGTTTCAAAAAATATGAAAATTTTAAAATTATTTGGGGGATATATGTTTGGGTTTTTAACTTAAAAAAGAGAGATAAAATTGCATTTTTGACTGAGTTTAAAGGAATATAAACCACTTTCTTCCACTCATTACCTTTCACAACTTTTTAAAAAACTTTTTTCTTTATCAACATTCTTACAAGTGAAAAATTCGTGGAGATTGCTCCAAAAATCAATCGATGTGGAAAAGGGGTGATTTTAAGTGAAAAAACAAAATGTATGCAAAGATCCTGCTTTATGCTATGTAAAGTTGTATCAACACCCGTAGTTATTGATCTAATCGAACCAACTCGCTTATGCTTTTTTATAGCTCTAGACATATATCTTTAGTTTTTAAAAAATATATGGTCAAATTCTCATAGATTATGTCTGAGGGCTTTCAAATTTTGGATCCCTGTGCACCATAGCTCCATGTTAGAAGAACGTGAGGTGTGGAAAGATAAAATTTCAGGACACTCCTTGTTCTGGATCTTTTCTAAATCCTCAATATCTGAACAGATCAGAGAAATTTGGAGAGACAAAGCTTGTAAACTTAGAATATAGCGTTCAGATGCATAAATCCAAACAATTTTAAAAGGGGTTGTAAATGTAAATTAACTTGACTCTCTATGGAAAGGCATGTCATTATTCATTATAAGTTATTGATTGACTTATCAAGAACGACTGATCGAGCTATCCTTGTTTTTCTTTTTGAAATTTAGTTTTTTTTAAACTGTAATTTCTCTTTTGAATACAATAAACATATTGTAATATATCAATTGACATAAATTCACAATATACATTTACGCCTCGGCCCTATTTCAAGTTCTAATCTCAGCTTTAAAGCTTTGTATAAGTTTAACAAATTCAAGAGTAGGCTTTCTCCACAAAGCAGCTTAGAGCATAGAGCAACTAGACAGTTCTAGAGTAGGTTTCAGCACTCTCAACTAAGCAGCTTAGAGCATAGAGCAACTAGACATTTCTAGAGTAGGTTTCAGCACTCTCAACTAAGCAGCTTAGAGCATAGAGCAACTAGACAGTTCTAGAGTAGGTTTCAGCAATCTGAACAAAGCAGCTTAGAGCATAGAGCAACTAGACAGTTTTAGAGTAGGTTTCAGCACTTTCAACTAAGCAGCTTTGAGCATAGAGCAACTAGACAGTGCTAGAGTAGGTTTCAGCACTCTCAACTAAGCAGCTTAGAGCATAGAGCAACTAGACAGTTCTAGAGTAGGTTTCAGCACTCTCAACTAGGCAGCTTAAAGCATAGAGCAACTAGAAATTCGAAAGTAGGTTTCAGCACCCTAAACTAAGCAGCTTTCAGCATAGAGCAGCTAGACAATTCTAGAGTAGGTTTCAGTACTATCAAATAAGCAGCTTAAAGCAGATTATGATTTTGTCACCACCAATTTGAAAAAAATATAGAAAATAAATTGTTAAAAATATGTATGGGGTAAAATTTAACCCCCCCCCCCATACCGCCCTGTCTATGCCTTGTGAGATAGATAGATAGATAGATAATTATATCTATGGGTAGATTGATATGAACGAAATATTCTGATAAAATATTGAAAACAAGGTCTAAGATGCAGGAATAAATCAAATATTCTTAACAAACTTCTAGGGGGGGGGGCAGAGATAAAGATAGAAACACACAAGAAATGAATGAACAGATAGACAAGACAAAGATAGACAGGTAGAGATGGACTCTAGACCGGTAGACAAACTATCGAATTGAAATAAACAGATAGAGAATACATAAATATAAAAAGAATATGTAAATAGACAGATAGACAAGACATAAAAATAGAAAATAGACAAAAAATATAAATAAACAGAAATACAGCGAGACATAATGACATGTAAAATAACATTTTACGTCCAAAAATGTCATTTTTGTCATTCATATGAAAAAAATTTGATTATCTATGAATTTTTGTTGAAAGTTTTGGCAAAAGAATATTTGTGTTTGTATGTTTTGTTGAGTTTTTGTATATTTATATATGTAAATCTTAGAGCAAAATTCCTACAATCCATTTTTACTCAAGGAGTATAGAAGATACTAGGTACAATTCCTATAATCCATTCTTACTCAAGGAGCATAGAAGATACTAGATTTAGATACAATTCCTTCAATTCATTCTTATTCAAGGAGTGTAGAAGATGCTAGATACAATTCCTGCAATCCATTCTTATTCAAGGAGTATAGAAGATGCTAGATACAATTCCTGCAATCCATTCTTATTCAAGGAGTATAGAAGATACTAGATGCAATTCCTACAATCCATTCTTATTCAAGGAGTATAGAAGATACTAGATACAATTCCTACAATCCATTCTTATTCAAGGAGTATAGAAGATGCTAGATACAATTCCTGATATTCATTCTTATTCAAGAAGTATAGAAAATACTTATAGATACAATTCCTGCAATCCATTCTTATTCAAGGAGTATAGAAGATACTATATACAATTCCTGCAATCCATTCTTATTCAAGGAGTATAGAAGATACTATTTACAATTCTGCAATCCATTCTTAATCAAGGAGTATAGATACAATTCCTATAATCCACTTATACTCAAGCTGAGTATTTAAGATTAAGATACTGGATACAATTCTTTCAATTCATTCTTATTCAAGGAGTAACGAAGATACTAGATACAATTCCTGCAATTCATTCTTATTCAAGGAGTAACGAAGATACTAGATACAATTCCTGCAATCCATTCTTATTCAAGGAGTATTGAAGATACTAGATACAATTCCTGATACATTCTTATTCAAGGAGTAACGAAGATACTAGATACAATTCCTGCAATCCATTCTTATTCAAGGAGTATTGAAGATACTAGATACAATTCCTGATATTCATTCTTATTCAAGAAGAATAGAAAATACTATAGATACAATTCCTACAATCTGTTCTTACTCAAGGAGTAAAGAAAATAAAAATACAATTTCTAAAATCCATTCTTATTCAAGGAGTAAAGAAGATACTAAATGCAATTCCTGCAATCCATTATTACTGATGAATGTAATGTTGTTTAATTTAAATTTGATATTTATTTTTAAATTAGTTTGGAAACCTGAACTATGAAAAAGTTTTGAGTAGGAGGGGAGGGGAGGGGGTAGCTTGATGAGGATTAACGAACATTTTTTTCTTAAATTGTACCCTCGAAATGCGAAACAATATTTTCTCATTCTTATTTCCGAAAACTAGTCCTCAAATATTCCAAGTAGCATAAAGCGGAATTGTGAAGGGGGGGGGGATAGCATCGGTAGGGCTGGTCTTCATTGTATTGATATAATAATATATATAATAATATACCTCTGTAGAAAACCTGGAATATTTCATCCATGATCAGACAAAGGTTGCAAGGGTACCGTTGTGAATAGAACATACCACTCTTCAAATGAATTGTCACATGAAATTACGTCAACAGTCTTTTTAAAGCTCATTCTTTGTTAAATGTGGATGACCTTGTGTGTACTTTATCACTCCTGTATGCTGAGTCCATTAGCGCCTGATCCAATCAGGATTCAGTCATGTGTTAGGTGTCAATTCTGAACCAATAGAAATAGTATGGCAATAACATCTATCTTTCTATCTATCTCATTATCCAATTAGAGTTATGAATCCTTAAAATTAAATCTGCGCTATCAGTAAATGGAAATATTTACTTCTACTGAAACTAAATTGGTATATAACTTAGAAAACCAAACGGTCGGCTATAAGAGAATTTATTTAATGTACACAAATTTATTCTGAAATATACTCGGTTTCAGTGGCTAAAAACTAGTCGAAACAATAATGTTCTTTTTTTGGGAGGAGGAGAGGGTTTTTGATAAATATTTTGAAATAATGAATTATTTTACCTCGCTCCATGTTATCATTATATGTGTATTGTGTAACTATATAGCTCTGGACAACCTGCGACTGAGATCTGTATACTGGGTTCAATTTCATGTTTCGGTTCAAGTCCAGTTTCGGTTGCATTTGTTTAAAAACAACCAATGTACAGCCACCGAAAATGAGTTCATTGTATAAATGAGTTCATTGTATATTACAGAATTTGGTGAATTCTTATGGTCTTACCTTACCTGAGAAAACATTTTTTATTTAACTTTTTCTACTTTTCAGATAAAAAATGAATAAAAATAAAGAAACAGAGAAGAAATAAGAAGAAGTATAGAAAACTAATTAAATAGATACAGCGACTATAAGAAGCAGAAACCCTGCAGTGAACAGAAAAAAGGATCATTGAAACCAGACAAAGAATCAGCTGAACGGAAAATTGTACAAATTAAAGAAAAAATGGAATCTTTTCAAAATTTTACTGTCTGTCCCTGGGTCTGAAAATAATGCTGCTCTGGTTAGGTGAGTTGAGTAATGTGTAGACAATGTTATTATTTTCTTAGATCAAAGTTTAGACAATTTCATTCTAAATTCACTGATTTAGAAAATTCGAAAATTGTTAAAATAATTTGCTAACACTGATTTTGCCTCATTGCATGGCCGGATATATTAATGATTGTGTACGCTGTTTTGGGACGAGGGGGGGGGGATACTAGAAAAATCGGATACTAGGATGGATCAAATTGATTAATCAGTTTTATTTCGATCCTAGGTCTGTAAATCCAGATTCCAGATGAGATGCTTAAACCAAATATTCACAATGTTAAACAAAAAAAAATCATTTATAAACTATGGTCAAATCAGTATTATTTTATAGATTTAAAGAATATTTCCTTTAAGAGTAACAATTTGCTAAGGAAAGGAGGGGACCAATGCTAATTGTGTTTACAGTGATATTAAAAATATCTAATTTATGAAACAGACAATTTATTATTTTTCTTAATGATACTTTTGATTTATATTACTCTTTCTAATGATATTAATTCAAGGCACAATTTGGTATTTATTTCTTTTCTTTTCCTCCACTTTACTTTGGTAAACACCACACAGGGTTTAAGTTGTTTCTCTAGGTACCCTGTGTATACTGGGTAGTGTAGGAGGAAGGGTTTAAGTTCTGTTTCTCTAGGTACCCTGTCTGTACTGGGTAGTGAAGGAGGAAGGATTTAAGTTCTGTTTCTATAGGTACCCTGTGTATACTGGGTAGTGTAGGATGAAGGATTTAAGTTCTGTTTCTCTAGGTACATTGTGTATACAGAGTAGTGTAGGAGGAAGGATTTAAGTCCGATTTCTCTAGGTGCCTTGTGTATACTGGGTAGTGTAGGAGGAAGGGTTTAAGTTCTGTTTCTCTAGGTACCCTGTGTATACAGAGTAGTGTAGGAGGAAGGAATTAAGTTCTGTTTCTCTAAGTACCTTGTGTATACTGGGTAGTGTAGGAGGAAGGGTTTTAAGTCCGGTTTCTCTAGGTACCCCGTGTATACTGGGTATTGTAGGAGGACGGGTTTAAGTTCTGCTTCTCTAGGTACCCTGTGTATACTGGGTAGTGTAGGAGGAAGGGTTTAAGTTCTGCTTTTCTAGGTACCCTGTGTTTACTGGGTAGTGTAGGAGGAAGGGTTTAAGTTCTGTTTCTCTAGGTACCCTGTATATACTGGGTAGTGTAGAATGAAGTGTTTAAGCCCTGTTTCTCTAGGTACCCTGTATATACTGGGTAGTGAAGGAGGAAGGGTTCAAGTTCTGGTTCTCTAGGTACCCTGTATATACTGGGTAGTGTAGGGGGAAGGAATTAAGTTCTGTTTCTCTAGGTACCCTGTATATACTGGGTAGTGTAGGGGGAAGGGTGGAGGAGAAGAATCCTCCGACAAGTCCTGTATCTGTGGTCAGAATCGTAGCACAGACTGGAGAGGATGTTAGGTAAAAAACTGAAAAGAAAAATTTAATATTGTTTTAACATTTAATGTCACCTTTTCATTAATCAGGGCAAAATTTTGTATATTTTTTGAAGTTGATTTAACACAGACTTATAATCGACTAGAAGATCGTGTTTGATATCAGATGAGCGGGGGAAGTTGGTTAATGGGTGATTTTAAGACGGATTTAGTATAATGAGTCAGTAATGTGATATTTCAAGATGCAATACTCAGTCAAATTTGTCAAAATTTCATTGTAAAACAGTTTAAGAATTCAACACACAAAATATTAATCTTAAGTGGAATTGAAAAAATGGTTTGAGTTGTGCTTTTTTGCGTGACGCGGCTGGATTTTTTAAAATCACACTTTAAAGGCCCTAAATATACCATTTAAAAAATGTTTTGCCCGGAAGAGTCAAGTGTGGTGGTACGGAAGGGGAAATAGTGGTGGCTCATGGCTGCCGGAAGAGAAAAAGCTAATATGTAGCACGGAAGGGGAAATAGTTGTGGCTCATGGCTGCCGGAAGAGAAAAAGCTAATATGTGGCACGGAAGGGGAAATAGTGGTGGCTCATGGCCGCCTGCCTTCCCCCGCTCATCAGAAAAATAAAATAAATAACAAATACAGGTGTTACCTATAAACTGTGGAATAAGAAGACTGATTTATCTGATTTGAAGTGAAATGAGATTTCGTACACTACACATTGCACAATAACTGTGTTTTACATTCATTGGCCTATTTGAAATCATAATTTGAGTCTCACAGCTGTCTTTCTATTCCACAGCTTTATGGGTCTCATTGTAAATTATAATACAAAAATCATTATTTTTGACTAATATAATTTATTTATATAAGAGTTAGATAATTAAAATTTGAAATCTTGATATTTTCGTCTTATTTAAAGGTGCAATGGAAGACCACATCTTAGAAATCTCAAGTTATTGATAGAAGTATTTTTTATTCTAACTTTTAATCAAATCACTAAAAAAACTTTGTAATTTTGAAGATTAAAAACTATCTAAAATTTTTTTTCTTCATCGGGACACCTTTTTTTCATTTGCTTAAAAATTCAAAAGTTTTTTTTCAGAATATCCTGCCCTGTCGAGGGGAAACCAAATCCTTATGTGGAGTGGAGTAAAGAGGTACTATTTTTTAATTAAAGGGACTGATCTTGTATTTTTAATTAAAGGGACTGAACTCGTATTCTTAATTAAAGGGACTGAACTCGTATTTTTAATTAAAGGGACTGGACTCGTAATTTTAATTAAAGGGTCTGAACTCGTATTTTTAATTAAATTGACTGAACTCGTATTTTTAATTAAAGGGACTGAACTCGTATTTTTAATTAAAGGGACTGAATTCGTATTTTTAATGAAAGGGAATGATCTCGTATTTTTTATTAAAGGGACTGAACTCGTATTTTTAATTAAAGGGACTGAACTCGTATTTTTAATTAAAGGGACTGAGCTCATATTTTTAATTAAAGGGACTGAACTCATATTTTTAATTAAAGGGACTGAACTCGTATTTTTAATTAAAGGGACTGAGCTCATATTTTTAATTAAAGGGACTGAACTCATATTTTTAATTAAAGGGACTGAACTCGTTTTTTTTATTAAAGGGACTGATCTCGTATTTTCAATTAAAGGGACTGATCTAGTATTTTCAATTAAAGGGACTGAACTCGTAATTGTAATTGAAGGGACTGAACTCATATTTTTAATTGAAACTCCATTTACAGATTTCGGGTTACAACGGTAACCTGAAAAGTGTGTATAAAAAAGAATGAAGTATCCATGTTTTTAAAATTGAAAGTTGATTATGTTCTATGTTGTTTCACTGTAAAAGTTCGTTGGTGTTTTCTGCTAACGTAATAATGGAGGATATCGGTAGAATTAAACACTTTTTTAGAAAGCAAACGATATCTTTTACATTTATAGTACACGTCATTTCAACAAAATTAACTTTAACATTGAACTCGGATTAAATTTTTATGTTTCAGATTATATTTTTTCATAAAGATAAAGAAAAATTACATTAAAAAGAATTAATTTTGATTAAGAATCAATCAATTCTCTTCTGATCAATTCAATCTTATATCATTAGACTTTGATTCTTCCTATTATTGTTATTATTGTTAGTATTGTTATTATTGTTATTAGGGCACAATAATAGATTACTCCTGGACTAGATATAAAACACACAGAAAATATTTGAAGATCAAACAAGTAACAAAGGAAGATGCAGGGGTGCTCATGTGTAAAGGTAAGTTTTAAAAATATAGAATATAAAATAAATAATTACGATTGTATTGATCAAATAATAAAAAAATAAATGAAGTATTTTCAGTCTCAAAATAATTGTAAAAAGTATTGTTAATAATAACAGTAATTAAATTCTTTTCCTAATTTCGTATTTTTTACTATTCACTTGAAAAGGGAAGATGCATTAAATTTTTTTGAACAAGTAACTCAGCAACCTGAGATAGAACTCACTGAGAATGGCAAATTAAACTTTCTAAAGGAGGAAGGTTTGCAAAACTACAATAAACCATGACAAAGTGATGAATAGAATGGTAATATTTTTTAATAAACAATGTTTTTCTAAAAATAAAAATGTGCTTCAAATCCCCGTGGAAGTACAATTACTTCCTATAAGGCCTCAACCTCAGACAAACTGGGATTTCGTCTGCTTTTAATAATAATAACAATATTAACAACTAGCTAAAACACCGGCCTTGCCCGTGGTAAAAAATTATCTAGAATTTTAAAAAATGTGATTTTCAAAAAAAAAATTGGATTTTTGAAAAAAGATTATTTCTATTTTTTATCCTATGTTACCCCCAGGGTACTCAAGGGTTTCCTCAAAAAAATTCACCCCATTCGGTAAAGCCGTTTGGCTATCTATAGCTAACATAATGATAACAATTATGAATGATAATGATGATAGTAACAATTAAAAACAATTTTAATACTATAAATCAGTATAGAAATAATAATCTAAAATAAGAGAAATAAATGCTGATTGAGTCCAACTCCAAACCTCCTGGATACCATCTCTGGACCCCCCCCCCCCCTAAAGTCTAGGATCAATCATGAATGACAGCCATTTATGGCTTGATTGTTTTTGTTTCGAATCATGAGTGTCCTCAAAAAATTTCAGCCCAATCGGTCCAGCCGTTTAGCCGGCTATAGGCAACGTATATTTGAACGTCTTGTTTTATTATATAGATAGCTAAAGAATGTATAATTGTAATAAATTTTTTCTTAGCAAAAATAAATAATAAATAGTAATAAATATAAAAGTTCTTAAAAGAATGGAAGAAATGCAGAGTTTTCTAATATTATTCTATGGCCGAAATGTCGGAAAAAAATGTTTCTATATTTGAAAATGTCGAATGAATACTAAATACTGACTCCGCAGTATTATTTTCTATGCAAATTGCAAGCTAGGCTTTGTTTTCAAACAATAAGAAGAAAATACAACGTCCCCCCCCCCCCGCTTCATCAGATAAATCTAAAATATCCCCCCTGTAAATCTAAAAATCCCCCCTGTAAATCTAAAAATCCCCCTGTAAATCTAAAAATCCCCCTGTAAATCTAAAAATCCCCCCTGTAAATCTAATAATACCCACTGTAAATTAAAAAAATCCCCCCTGTAAATTAAAAAATCCCCCTGTAAATCTAAAGAAAAACTTGTAAAAGTTACAAGCAAAGCTTAAAATTTTTTTGATCTGACCCTCCGTTCCTTTAACAAAACTTTAATTTTGAATTTTGTTAGATTTTCTTTATCTTTCATTTTTTAGTTTTTTACTTCTAAAGGATTAAAAGTATTTACTTAAAGTCTAAGTTCAGTTTTTTCTTTTAAACTTTTCTCTTTAGAATTTATTCATTAAATGACGACACAACTAAAATAAAAGAAATAATTAACGTTGAAATTAATTTAATTCATTAAAGATGTCAAATTAACAAACTTCTAATTAAATTAACACAAACTTTTTGTTTGAAGAAACCCCTGTTTAATTCATTAAGATAAGACTCAAAATTACTTTTGTCAGAGAAATAATTTGATTCAAATGGATTTCGAGGTCAACATTTTAGTGTTTTGCATCCCGGGATTAAGCATTGATCTCCATTCTATACAAATCTACGGATTAATTTCATCCCTGTTCGATATCCAGTTGTTCTCATACACCCTGCAGGGATATCCAGTTGTTCTCATATACCCTGCAGGGATATCCTGTTGTTCGCATATACCCTGCAGGGATATCCAGTTGTTATCATACCCTGCAGGGATATCCAGTTGTTCTCATGTACCCTGCAGGGATATCCAGTTGTTTTCATGTACCCTGCAGGGATATCCAGTTGTTATCATACCCTGCAGGGATATCCAGTTGTTCTCATATACCCTGCATGGATATCCAGTTGTTCTCATACCCTGCAGGGATATCCAGTTGTTCTCATATACCCTGCAGGGATATCCAGTTGTTATCATGATACCCTGCAGGGATATCCAGTTGTTCTCATACCCTGAAGGGATATCCAGTTGTTATCATGATACCCTGCTATAGATTGACTATATACATATTTTGTTTAGGAATAAATGGGTTCAGATTGACTATATATATATATATTGTTTAGGAATAAGTGGGTTCAGATTGACTATATATATATATTGTTTAGAAATAAATGGGTTCAGATTGACTATATATATAAATTGTTTAGGAATAAATGGGTTCAGATTGACTATATATATATATTGTTCAGGAATAAATGGGTTCAGATTGACTATATATATATTGTTTAGGAATAAATGGGTTCAGATTGACTCTATATATATTGTTTAGGAATAACTGGGTTCAGATTGACTATATATATATTGTTTAGGTATAAATTGGTTCAGATTGACTCTATATATATTGTTTAGGAATAACTGGGTTCAGATTGACTATCTATATATTTTGTTTAGGAATAAATGGGTTCGGATTGATTGTATATATTTTGTTTAGGAATAAATGGGTTCAGATTGACTATATATATAAATTGTTTAGGAATAAATGGGTTCATATTGACTATATATATATATTGTTTAGGAATAAATGGGTTCAGATTGACTATATATATATTGTTTAGGAATAAATGGGTTTAGATTGACTTTATATATATATTGTTTAGGAATAAATGGGTTCAGAATGACAATATATATTTTGTTTAGGAATAAATGGGTTCAGATTGACTATATATATATATTGTTTAGGAATAAATGGGTTCAGATTGACTATATATATATTGTTTAGGTATAAATTGGTTCAGATTGACTTCATATATTTTGTTTAGGGATAAATGGGTTCGGATTGACTTTATATAGTTTGTTTAGGAATAAATGGGTTCAGATTGACTATATATATATTTTGTTTAGGAATAAATGGGTTCAGATTGACTATATATATTTTGTTTAGAAATAAATGGCTTTAGATTGACTATATATATTTTGTTTAGGGATAAATGGGTTCAGATTGACTCTATATATATTGTTTAGGAATAAATGGGTTCAGATTGACTATATATATTTTGTTTAGGAATAAATGGGTTCAGATTGACTCTATATATATTGTTTAGGAATAAATGGGTTCAGATTGACTATATATATATTGTTTAGGAATAAATGGGTTCAGATTTACTATATATATTTTGTTTAGGAATAAATGGTTTCGGATCTACAATGGTTCGAATAGAACTGTATATCTCGGATTCCATGGATAAAGGCAGGCTACCATGCTTTAAAATAATAATAAAATAATTAAAGACATCAACGAAAGCGTACAATGAACTTTTTTGGAGTTCCACGGACCCAAGTCTTTATACAACCAATTGAATTGAATTTGAAAAGTCGTCTAGTGGGAAAAATGGGGTTAAAAGTGAAAACTTACTGACTATAAAACCAGGAATCTGAATACACTGAAAGGATCTCGGATTTGTAGAGAGAAACTATTTTTTGGTTTCATGCCGTGAATACTGAACTCTAAAATTTTTTCTCTTATACTTTTATTCTCATTTTTGACCAACTATATTTGTATCTTGCTTCACATTTACGTTTTCTAATCTCTAGATTAAAAAAGAGTATTGTTTATGTCAAATTCTTTAAAAAGTTTGAATATCCCTCCTTAAACACACCGCCCCCCCCCCCACCTATTTACGTAAAAGTTCGTTAATTATATCGCCCCCTACCACCACTTTATACATTATACATATAAACAGTTTGTTTTTAATCTTCCTGACAGAAACAATCTCAAGGAATAATTGTCTTAGAACATTTTTTATAAAGTGTATATTTGCAAATTATCTTTTTTCCATCTCATGATCTGAGTTCGTTTCCCTTTTGTCCATTTGACGCCCAATTGTTTTTTAAAATCCTTTTTGTTCGCTTATTTTGTTGTGGTTTTATTAACATTTTTTATTGTTTATTTTATGGCTATTTTACGTTTGAACTGACGAGGGTCAACCCAAAACGAAATATATTTTCAAAAAAAAAATGTGGAACTAACATCTTCTTTATGAACTCTATAGAGGTTTGGTTCATCCTTATCACCAAATTTTAATTCTTAGCTCTATCTTTGCAACTTGCGATGTAGACTTTTTATATTTAAAACATTGCCATTTGATTATTTTACATAGATTGAAATGTCCAAGGTCTACGACATAAAGTTGCAAAGATATAAACATTAGAAAATTAGAGTTTGTGGATTGTTTAATCTTCTAATTCTTATTTTTGATAAACATAAAACAAATTTTTTACTTTGTTTTTTTAATTTCAGCGAGCAAAAACTTTACTCTGCTAATCTCCAGGTTTTCCCTGAATAAATGTGAGATGAAAGAAAAAGTTTAAATTAATATTTGCCCTGTTTGAACTTAGATATGTTTCAAAGAAATAAAAAAAAATTAATTCTTTGCTTTTAGGTATTCAGCTTTACTGTGACTATTGTTTTATATTGATATTAATTGGTCAGCAATGGTGTTAAACTATCAATAGCAAGTCCAACTAATTCTCATTTTATTATTTTTTTATCTCAGTTTTTAAAAGATTTTGTGCAGATAGAAGCAAAATTAGCAGCGATCGAAACCGAATTCAATTTGAGATCAGCCTATACATCTTTACATTTTTCGCGAACACTGTAGAAGTCTGGTTATCAGACGATGTTTGGTACATTGCCAGCGGCGAGTGTGAGATCCAGGCTGCTATGACAAGATTTGAATATGGGGTCGACTTTAAAGTATTACGACAACCTGGCATAACTCACTTATACTCTTATTGTGTCCCTAGATATTTACATTTTAGTACTATAAAGAAATTTATTTATCTTCTGATTTCAAAAAGTATTTGGAATTTTGCCACCTTAGGCTTATATCACTGTAGTTTCAATAGAAGTAAATATTTTCATTTAGTGTAAAGCGCCAATATAAGGATTTATCTCTAATTGGATAATGAGATAGATAGAAATATAGATGTTACCGTTATGCAATTTCTATTGGTTCAGAATAGACAACAAACACATGACTAAACCCTGAATGGACCTTAAATCTTTTATGTAATCAAGGATTACAGAGTGATAAAAAATCTTATCAGCAGAAACCAGTCTTTTTATTATGGATTTATATGTATGCAAGCTGGTTTAAAAAAAATATTACTCTGCATTTTTTGGATAAATGATTTAATTCTAAAAATTAATTAAATCTATTTTTATCTTAAAAAAAGTAATTTGAAGAATCAATTAGTAACGCGAACTAATTTAAAGAATAAAAATATAAATTTAAAAATAATTTTTTCTACAAAAGATTAAAGCTTTATTCATGGTGGGACTAAAACTCAAATGAACAACTTCATCCTTTCATACCCCCTCCACTTACTTTCCTCCAACTCCACTCTTTTTTCCCTCCAATCCCCCCTCCAATACACTCTCCTTTTACTCCACTCCCCCTTTTCTTTCTCATCTATTCTCCACTCGCTCTCTCCCCTATATTTTTCTTCTCCTGCCCTCCTGTGTAATATTTTGAAGAAAACAAGTTTAGAGAAAAATGTGTCTCAGCAAATTTTGTTGGGAAATCTTTGAGGGATATTTTCTAATGTAAATTCCTAATCCTTCCACTGCAGAATAAAAGTTTCTCAAAAGTATTTTTAATATCTTGCATTTTTAATTCAATAGGAATGATAAAAAAAATGAAAAAAATGTTAGTGCAATAAGAACAAACCTATGTGTTTGATCTAACGTATCATAGTTATACTGGCGTGGAATTCCAATTCAACCTAAACTCTCAAGAAATTAGCCAAGAATGGTCCTAGAATTGTCCAAAGCTGGTCCTAGAATTGTCCAAAGATGGTCCTAGAATTGTCCAAAGATGGTCCTAGAATTGTCCAAACATGGTCCTAGAATTGTCCAAAGAGGGTCCTAGAATTGTCCAAGGATGGTCCTAGAATTGTCCAAAGATGGTCCTAGAATTGTCAAAAGATGGTCCTAGAATTGTCCAAGAATGGTCCAAGAATTTCCAAAGATGGTCCTAGAATTGGCCAAGGTTGATTTTAGAACTGTCCAAGGAAAGTCCTAGAATTGTCCAATGATGGTCCTAGAATTTTCCAAGGATGGTCCTAGAATTGTCCAAAGAGGGTCCTAGAATTGTCCAAAGAGGGTCCTAGAATTGTCCAAGGATGGTCCTAGAATTGTCCAAAGATGGTCCTAGAATTGTCCAAAGAGGGTCCTAGAATTGTCCATGGATGGTCCTAGAATTGTCCAAGGAAAGTCCTAGAATTATCCAAGGTTGATTTACGAACTGTCCAAAAATGATCGAAGAATTGTCCAAGGATTGCCCAAAAGTTGTCTAAGGATGATCATAGAACTGTTTACAGACAGGTAAATGGTTGACCAATTTTTATTGTCAAAGAAATATTTAAGTAAATTTTAAGGGGTAGTCAAATAAGTGTACATTGTCTTTGTCTGTGTAAGAATTGTCAAAAAATTGGCAAAGGGTTCTTTAAAAATTGTTCTAAATTATTCAAGATTGGCATAATTTCATAAACTGTCCAAGGTTCGAAAGAATGATTCGATATGTATCTAGAATATCTAATATTCCAACTTATATATGTAATATGCTATAAACCTTGAAGTGTATATCTAGGGAGACGGACCAGATAATTAAATTATTATTGTACATCAGACAACAGAGTGTTCAAAAATATTGAAAATAGAAAATACTGTTGTTTAAAATAAGGGTGTTTCAATCAATATTTGTAAAAATACCATATATATCTATTTATTTACATAATATAGAACTTGTCTGTCTGTGTGTCGTCTGTTTGTTTGTGTCCAATTACTCTCAAAACGGCTGAATTTCGAGTTGCACGTTACATTATCAGGACATGGACGGTATACGTTAAAAATCGTGCCTCCGCTAAAAAATCTGCAAAATACTAGAATGAGATGTATTTTAGTATTATCTATTTTTCTATTAGTTTCAATGGAACAAATTTAACAAACTTACAAAAATAATTTAAAATTTACGAGTTCTAATTCTTTATCAAGCCATCATTTAATCCAACTTTGGAATAATTAAGCATGTAAAATTAAACAATTTAATCATAAAACATGCAAAATTTAACAATTGAATTGTTAATCATCAGGATTGGGGCATAATGTTTTTTGTTAGATTTGATTTAAAAATTATGTTTGGATCATAGCTTTAGATTTGTATGAATTGGTTTATACTTTATAGCTTTGGTTAATCAAAACACCATATTTAGTTAAATCAAATAATTAAAAAGTCAATTTAAAAATAATTTGAGAACATAGTCTTAAACAGATACAAAACAGCTAAATCAAAGCTTATAACTTTTAAAAGAATGGATAGAAATAAACTCATTTAATCAGATCACAGGGATCAAAAGTTTCAAGCTCCTCTAACCAAAAAAATAAATGAGAGTTTTGCCAATTACTTTTTAATGACTAAAAAAATGCTCTTTACTAGCTAGAAAAAGTATAAGTGAAAAAGTGATGTAAAATTTAAAACCATTGAGTTGCGACACCTTTAAGCTGGTCAAGTCTTTAAAATGGATGCAAATTTTTATAGCAGTCTTTCTTCATGTAAAATAAATCAATTGTCCCCTTACAGATCATTATATAAAGACGGCTCAGGGGTATAGGTATTCTAGTTTAAACTTATAAAATATATGTTCTAGTTTCATATCTAGTTGATGAATAATTATAATTGAAATTGGTAGATATCAAGTTATATACAGGGTGTCCCACATCATATTGGATCGTGTTATAGTTTTGAATTGCGATTTCCGGGACTAACCAGAAATATTTAAAAGAACGAATCATTTAAAAAATTGTAATTTACTAACATAAAGATTTGCATGCAGAAAATACTTGGTTTTTCGAGTATTGTGTGCATATTTCATGGCGTTAAGGCGTGGATATATAGAGTTTCTCGATCAAAATAAGTTAAATCGATTAAGGGGTTCATGAGTTATGATCTGGAACACAAACAAACAAACACAGATTTAATATTATATTATTTTAATTCTATAAATTACCTTTTTATGTTGATAAGTGTACTACAATTTTGTTTAAATAAGTGAAAGCTACCTCCATGGTTCAAATTTGAGAATATTCCCTTTAACAAAAGGCATGGTTTATGTTCAGAAGTAGGCCCACTTTTCTCCGAATCTACCATGAACCTGAACACACTTTACAAGAAATTAACAGGAGAACAATTCTCATTGGTCTGCGAAGCACTCGGTAAATTTAATAAATAAGTAAATCAGATTTATCTAAATCATAAATATCGAGAAACCGTGTTATAGTAAATAAATTCCTGAGGAGCTCTTTTTGAGAAAATTCCATTTAACCTTTGTTGTAAAGTTCAGACTTGGAAAAGGCGTTTGATTCGAAGGTTTGCTTGAGATTTGTGAAGCCCTTTTTGAGAAAATTCCATTTGTTTTGTAGTTTAGACTCTAAAAAGGCGTTTGACTTAACAATTTTTTGAGATTTCAAGGTAACCCGAAATATTTTTAATTTTGCTTAACTATAATCCTAAAAAAAGATTTCAAAATACAGTGAATCGATGTGTTTGAATTAGAATAAGTAAAAGTTAAAAGTTAAATAAAAAATGTTGTTTAGGTGTACCACCTCCAAATATAACATGGTTTAAAGAATCAAGAAGTTTATCTACAACTAGCAAAATACACATTCACACATTAACCCTAGCAGGTAAACCATGGGAGGGAGCCGAAGCCCGGGGGGGGATTGATAAAAAAATGACCTTTTTTTACCATTTTGGCTTTAAAATGTTCAGAAATAGTTTTTATTGTAAGATGAAAAGCTGTAACATAAAAAATGAGATAACAATTTTAAATTTTGTAAACAAGTTTAAATTATGATTTTAGTCTTTTCAGATGTAAAGTCTAAGAAAGGATTGGGTTTGTTAATTAGAGATTAAAACTAGAATAAATCCTAGTTAATAACTGTAGGATTATTAGGTATAGGATTAAAACTAGAAGAAATTCTAATTAAAAACTGTAGGATTTTTAGGTACAGGATTAAATCTAGAGTAAATCTTAGTTAAGATCTCTAGGATTATTAGGTATACGATTAAGACTAAAATAAATCTTAGTTAATTTCTGTAGTATTATTAGGTATAGGATTAAGGCTAAAATAATTCTTAATTGAACACTGTAGGTTTAGGATTAAAAACTGGAATAAATCCTAATTAACCACGGTAGGTTTAGGATTAAAAACTTGAATAAATCCTAATTAAACACTGTAGGTTTAGGATTAAAAACTGGAATAAATCCTAATTAAACACTGGAGGTTTAGGATTAAAAACTGTAATAAATACTAATTAAACACTGTAGGTTTAGGATTAAAAACTGGAATAAATCCTAGTTAAGGAATTATAAAGACGAGCAGAAAACTTTGTCTCAATACTCCTTGTTAGTTGTTTTTAAACTTATTCCCAACATTCAAACTTTCAGAAATACTAATAGCATCCTAGAGGTGTAGTAGCATCTTAGCTAGCTGCTCCTAGAGGAGTAGTAGCATCTTAGCTAGCTGCTCCTAGAGGAGTAGTAGCATCCTAGTTAGCCGCTTCTAGAGGAGTATTATCATTCTAGCTAGCCGCTCCTAGAGGTGTAGTAGCATCTTAGCTAGCCGCTCCTAGAGGAGTATTATCATCCTAGCTAGCCGCTCCTAGAGGTGTAGTAGCATCCTAGCTAGCCGCTCCTTGAGGTGTAGTAGCATCCTAGCTAGCCGCTCCTAGAGGAGTAGTAGCATCCTAGCTAGCTGCTCCTAGAGAAGTAGCAGCATACTAGCTAGCTTCTCCTAGAGGAGTAGCAGCATCTTAGCTAGCCGCTCCTAAAGGAGTAGTAGCATCCTAGAAAGCTGCTCCTAGAGGAGTAGTAGCATCCTAGCTAGCTGGTCCTAGAGGAGCAGTAGCATCCTAGAGGTGTAGAAGCATCCTAGCTAGGTGCTCCTAGAGTTGTAGTAGCATCTTACCTAGCTGCTCCTAGAGGGTTAGTAGCATCCTAGCTAGCTACTCCTAGAGGAGTAGTAGCATCCTAGCTAGCTGCTCCTAGAGGAGCACTGGCATCCTAGCTAGCTGCTCCTAGAGGAGTATTAGCATCGTAGCTAGCCGCTCCTAGAGAAGGATTAGTATCGTAGCTAAACAAGTAGTAGCATCGTAGCTAGCCGTTCCTAGAGGAGGATTAGCATCGTAGCCAGCCGCTTCTATAGGAGTTGTAGCATCCTAGCAGATCCCAGCTGCTCCCAGTAGCATCCTAGCAGATCTTTTGTGTTTAAACTCTGGATCAAGTTGATATCCAGCTTATGCACACCTTCGGATTAATTTAATTTTGTTTTGATATCCCGTCGTGGTCATATCCTGCAAAGATAACCTAAATTGAAAAGTGCCCACATTAAATATCGAGATCAAGTTTTTAAGATAAATTTTTATTAGATTCCGGTGTATATAGCTGCCTGGCTACTAACCGTGTGGGTCAGATTAAGCGTGAGTTCTACCTGACTGTGGAATCCCCACAGGTTGAGCTGCCGGTCATTAAACATATCACTAACACCACTGTCTACCAGGTATAGGGGGCATGCCTGATTTACAACGGTACCCTTGAAACTGTTATGTGATTAACAATGTGAAGACAGCTTCATCTTGCAGAAAAACCACAGTTGAAAATAATCAGTTTTCAAAATTATAAACTTAGATATCTAATTCAATGAATGTATATTTAGTTGAGATTTCAATATGCATACTTTGTTTCAGCAAAAATGATCAAACAAAATTATCAAACATTATTTTCAATTGGCTCATAATAAATTTTCTTTTGTGTTTTATTTTAAGCTGAACCATCATACATTATTATTTTGTATTTTGTGTTTGAAAATAAATACTAAATAAATAAATAATCATACTTGTTCAGATAAAGATTTTAATGGTACTGTTGTGAATCGGACATTTTTACATTTTTTCATTTAAAGATAATATTTGCTAAAAAAATGGGATGAGTGAAGAAACGCTTACATTTTCATATTTCAATAGGAACACTTGGAACACAGTTCCATTTTGTATGTAATGGGTCTATTTATATGGTATCGAGAAAACTTGTTGATGGTTCAAATTATATCTGCTTGGATTTATTTCGCAAACGCTTCCCTCAAAAAATAGTCATTTTTGCTTTCTTTAGTCTGCTATCAACATTTTTCACTTTTATTTCATTTTAGTAATATGGGGTGAGATAAACCAAATTGAATGTAAGTTGAATTTTGGAAAGGTATAGCCTACATCAATTCGATTATTTTGACATTTTTTGACATATTTCAAACTACTTTTTTATGAGCACAACAACAAAACCTGAAGAACTACGATAATCTTTACTATCTCCATAAACTCTCCTAGTCTTTTCAGACTAAATATTTTACATGTTTAAAAGTTTTATGTCTGAAAACTTTCAGATTTTTTGGGGAAAGTTTCATGGTTTTCAGATAAAAATTATTCTATCAAATAAAATGTTAAATATGCAAAAAAAAGAGTATAGATCTCTTTCAGTGTTCTCAGAAAAAAATGTAAATCTATTTTACAATTTTTTTGAAATTTTGCAAAATTCTATTTTGATTTTATTTATTTACTGTGTGTACAAAACAGGCCCTTTCATCTTTTCATCCCGTCATTTTAAATTGATTTTTCTATCCATCTATCCTTCTATTTATCCATCCTTTATGCCATCTATCCATCTATCGTTCTATTTATCCATCCTTCCTGTCTTCTATTTATCCATCCTTCCTGCCATCTATCTATCTATCCTTCTATTTATCCATCCTTCCTGACATCTATCCATCTATCCTTCTATTTATCCATCCTTCCTGCCATCCATCTATCTAACCTTCTATTTATCCATCCTTCCTGACATCTATCCATCTATCCTTCTATTTATCCATCCTTCCTGCCATCTATCCTACTATCCATCTATCTATCCGTCTTTCCATCCATTTATATATCTATTCTTCTATGTTCTCATTCTTCTATTCTTCTATATTATCCTATATATCTATCCTTCCATATTTTCATTCATTCTTCTATATTATCCTATATAGCTATTCTTCTATATTTCCATTCTTCTATTCTTCTATATTACCCTATATATCTATCCTTCTATCCTGCATTCTTCTATTCTTCTATATTATCCTATATATCTATTCTTCTATATTTCCATTATTCTATTCTTCTATATTATCCTATATATCTATCCTTTCATATTTTCATTCTTCTATTCTTCTATATTATCCTATATATCTATCCTTCCATATTTTCATTCTTCTATTCTTCTATATTATCCTATATAGCTATTCTTCTATATTTCCATTCTTCTATTCTTCTATATTACCCTATATATCTATCCTTCTATCCTGCATTCTTCTATCCTAAGATCTGTCTATGTATCCATTTTTACTTTCATTTATCTTTCTTACTATAATTCCACGTCCACCCGATCTTAGGTAGCTATCTACAGGGTTACCCACAAAGTACGAGACTTCAGAGACTATTTTGTGGAAGTAGTTAAAGAAATTAGGGGTCGTTATTACAGTCTCCTCCATTGTGGATAACCCTGGATTATCTAACAATCTGCCCTAACTGTATTTCCACCCATCAAAGTAAACTCCTTTGTAAGAATCTCTATTTTATTTACAAAGGCGGTTTAACTTCCTCGCAGGATGATTTATTTTTCTATAAGAAAGTTCCCATGCAGTACACGATGTACTTCATGATATACGTTGCATAACATTCCTATTGAAGGAAGGAAAAATTAACCTCAAGGGCAGTTGGGTCATTTAGCAGTACACTGAGGATGTACTATCAAATGATCCTACTGCCTTTATAAAGCTGAACTTTTTCAACTAATAATGTTATACACACCATAGTTTCAGTAGCAGTAAATATTTTCATCTACTGTTATAGCGCCGATATAAGGATTATATCTCTAATTGGATAATGAGCTAGATAGAAAGAAACATGTTACCTCTATGCAATTTCTATTGGTTCAGAATAGAAACCAAAAACATGGCTGAACCCTGATTGGATCAGGCGCTATTGGACTCGGCATACAGGAGTGTACAACGTACTTAATTACAACAGTGCATCCTTATTAATGTAAATATCTATTAATCTCATTATTAAGTAAAATATATGACGCAAACAAACCAGATATTTTTACCACAATACTCATTTAAAGCTAAAGACAGAAACTCAAAGCAGCGTTGACTATATTGAAACATGATTTACAAAATATATGAATGTGTTAGATAAGTATGGCATGGCAACAATTTAAAATTGGCGCATAATATTTGGAAATATGTTGTTCTGCAGGTTGGATTTAATAAAATGGAAGAGGAGACCATTCGAACTATTTTTATGTTGTTCATTAAATCTTTTATTGACTCCAATTCATGAAAAACAAGGTATTTCCGAGATAGTGTGGTATTCTATAGTTATATGTTATAAGTAAAGGAACTATAAAAGTTCAACACTAAAGAGATTTAATAGTTAGTGGCGAGTAATAGGTTTCTTTACTTTTACATAATTATTTAATTGTTATTTTTCTGGAGTTTTTATTTGTTTAGTTTAATATTTTCTGAGTTGAAAGGAGAGGATGAAAGTGGTGTTGAATGATAATGAAAGATAATTAAACCACTCAAATCCTTATCAACAACATCAGCCCTTGCTATACTCCTTGTAAATAATAAATAATAAAAGATAAAATTATATCTTGGAATAATGGTTTAAAAATTTCACAGTCTAAAAAAATGCAAAGTTTGTTGCGCAGATTTGCGCGTAATTTTGTAATTGTTTTGCGCACAAATAGCGCTTAAAACATTCACACATTTTTATACGAGAGGAAGCGTAATTTTTAAATATGTATTTAATATTCAGGGCCAAACTGTGGAACTAGAATGTGAAGTAGATTCTGGGCTAAAACCTGATATTCAATGGTTACAGGTCAACTTATTTTAATTTGTCAACTAAATTCTAATTTTTTAAAATTCTGATCCTTTGCAGTCTAATATTGTAGACCTCCGATAAAACACTTGCAAAATACTAAAAAAAATTATTTCTTATATCTTTTTTACTTTATGGTGTAGGCCTTTGCTAATTCCAACTTTCCGTTCTGTTGAACATAAGTTAACGAAAAGGTTGAAAAGATATAGGGATTAAAAAATCTTATTTAAGTTAGGTCATCAGTTACTTTCTGATTATTTTCTTGACTCTATTTGACTCTACGCCCAAAATGTGTAACTAGAGCTGACACAAATCTACATATTTTTGTTTATCAAGATTTACTTCTAAGGTCTGAAACATCATATATTTTATAATTCTTGAAATTGAAAGGAAGTTAATGGAATTTTACTTTACCAAGGGTTCCCAAGACCAATTTTGTCTAAACACATCCAGAGCGCAACGAGGGATGTTATGTAGACAAAATTGGTCGAGGGAACTAGTGGTTAAGTAAAATTTTTAATTTCCCGGAAAAGTAGTTGTACACAATTTTATCGTCTTTTGAGATAAAATTTCGCGAATTTTTTCCGAAAACTGTCCCAAGGGACGTTGAGTAACCCAACCTCTCTCTGTTGGGGGAATCATTGGTCGGTAATTTTGGTCAAAATAAGGCGATAAAATACATAATCAATCAATAATCAACATATATACATATATATTGTATATATACATTTATTTATATATTTTCTATTTCATTTTAAACATTTTCTCTTTGAAAACATTGTAAAACAAAAAAGCATCGCGGAATAAAAAATAATTTTCGTGGATTTTCAAAATTTTCAAAAATCGGATTTTGTTAGAATCAAATGTTTCGAAAATTCGATCATCCAAAAACCTTCGCTGGGGTCTCGAGAGCTCCCACAACATATTTGGGCCTGATCGGTTCTGCCGTTTTGACTTTTATTGGATACAAACAGACAATCAAAGTATTTATATTGATATATATAAATATAAATATAAATATTATCAATTTATTATTCAATCAAAAAACAAAATTTATCTGTACAGGAGAGTACAGGAGAAGAGTACAGCATACATCTAGGAGATATGAACCTTGTACACGCCGGGGAGAGTCAAATAAGAATGAATAATATTGATAACAACAACAACAACAACAACATCATCAACAAAGTTATAAAGTACCACAGTTTATTTACAGTAACTGCAGCTCAATCAAAGGTAAGAGGATTCACAAAAGTACCGAAAAGATACCAATTTTATATTTTGAGTTTTTTAATGTTCTTTATTCTCCAGATTTCACTATAAAAAGTCTAATGGCAGAAGTTTACTATAATTAGATTTGTTTAATGATGTTTGGGGGAAAACTTGACCTGTTATTTTTTTTTTGTTGGCTGTTTTGTGACAAAGAACTGTTTTAGTGCAACTATTAACTTTTTTAGCAAAATTTAGTTTACTATAACAGTATACTTAAAGAATATAGAGTGAACATGGCTTAGTAAAGGAAACGAAGAGGTAAAGCTTAGCTCAGATGTACACTTGTACATTAAGTGATCGTATTTCTTGGGGGTTTTAAACTGTAGATAATTGAATATTTGTAAAGGTAATTAGATAGACACTTAATATGGATTGTAAACACAGGATTGTATACTGAAGTACATTCCAGTTCTGCAGTTGTTTGTTTATTTTAATACAAGAATGAAAATGCACGAACAATTCCATAAAATCCCCTAAGAAATACGATCACTCTATATACAAGTGTACAGTGTTAGATACGTTAACATATCGAGATGTACACAATAGACCACTCTATTAATTAATTAAAAGGGTGGTCGGTTGTGTACATCTGAGCTAAGCTTTACCTCTTCGTTTCCTTTCTTTATGAAACATGCAAAGTAAAACATTTTTTAGTGTTGTACACTGTACAGTGGTATCTAGAAAACAGTGGAATTATCGTCTTCTTCTTTTTCATTCAATTTAAAAATGTCGCTAAAAAATTTAAAATTTTTAACTAACCAATGTTTAAAAACACAACCCTGAATATTTTTAGAAATCAGTTGCATCAACTGGAAATTTCAAAGTTCTTGGCGACATTTTTTTACTAAAAGAAAGAACAAAGAATACATGCATTTGCAGTTGTATTTTGGTAATGTTATTAATAACTCTGAATTTATTATCCATAGAGCTGAAGTATTGTTGAAAACACTGTGTAATATATTGCCTGAATGTGCATACATATTGTATATATTAAGTATTGACAAGGTATGTGGGGTTTTACAACTTGGGGCTTTAGTGAAAATATATTGTTTTTTTCTTCTTCAAATGCATTCACGTTATGGAAGATACGTAAACGATACATTAACGATGCATGAACGTTGTGCAAACGATGCATAAACGATGAAAACGAAGCATAAACGATGTATTAACGATTTTTAAATGATACATGAATGATGCATAAACGATGCATAAGCGGTGTATAAACAATGCATAAATGATGCATAAACGATTCATAAACTTTCCATGGTCGATGTATGAACGATTTATGGACAATATATAAACAATGAAAAAAATATCCAAAATATAAATAAACTGTAAAGAAACGTTGAGCGAATTATGAACAAAGAATGAACGAACGATGAACGAAAAATAAATGCACGATGAACAAGGGGGGAATGAACCGTTAAGGAACAACAAACGAATACTATTTGAAAGATTGAACAAAGGTTGTATGAAGAAACGAAGAACGAACAATGAATGAACAGATGTTGAGTCAAATTTTTAAAAACATTATTAACATCGTTAAAGTTTTGCAGATTTTTAATACACATATTAAAAATCATAAAAACATTTTATACTATTTTTTCACCTTCAAAATTGCCTTTTTGGGTTAATAATTCTATTGTATGATATTGTAATGAAGTATGCATATTAACCCCCTGCCTTGAATTATGATTAGAATAATTAGTAGTAATGAGTTCATGACATAACAACCTGACCGTGTTATTAATAGTATCAAAAATTAGATTTACTTGTTGTTTAGGGTCCTAAACAAAGATAATAGAATATATATTAGAGGGGAATTTACTAGAAAAAAGTGTAAAACGGCCATTTTGTTGTATTTTTTCCATACTGCAGGTGTACTTCACATATTTATGCTATATAACCTTTTGGGCCCTGGAATATCATTTTATAGAAAATCTAAAATTAATATTAAAAGAAACCCAAATTATGAAATAGGCTGGTTTCATAATTGACCAATGATCATTTCACATAGACTCTATGCCTTTCACTTTAAAAACGATGATTTTCTGTTATAACTATAAATCAAATGATGTTTTTTGTTCACCTAATTTATTATAAACTTTATTTAACAGCTTTAAAAAATTCGAAATTGAAATGAATAGTCTAGTGAACATACTGTATTAATGTACTCTACTGCATATAATTTGTGAACATTTACATGATTTGTACACTTTGAACTCCCTTTCAGGCTGAAAGGGACTGAAAAAATTCATACCGAGAGATTCTTTAAATTCCCCTCTAATATATATTCTATTCTCTATGGTCCTAAACAATACATGATTTTTACAGGGTGTTTTAAAATACATATCACTATTTACAAGCGTATCCTTGTCTTAAACAAAAGTAAATATTTGTTTCTTGTTTTTTTATAGCTTATTTTTGGAACGCTGAGCCCGATATAATAAACAATTCAATACTGAATGCGCAGTAGTAAATTCTAAATACTAAAAAATTAGTTTATTATTATATATGCAGATATACACCTTATTGCTTAAAGTTTGACCATAAACAGTTATTTAATATAAAGATAACCATGTGAAGTTGAAATGTAAATGCTTAAATTAAAGAACTGAGCTTGGAACTCTAGAATGGGATACCATTTATCCCAACTGCTTAATCCGAATATCCAATGTGAACAGTTTTAAGTTCTTGCTTAATCCACTCTTTTATGAATATCGTACAGAAAAATCAAAAACTGGTTTTTCCAAAATAGAAAGTCCCTCCCATTTTTGTATATTAATCTCAAATGACGCGGAATATTTTAAATTTTCTGGTTTCTGATACGCGACTCTGATTGGTTGAATTTTATACACTTTTCAGGATGTACAAGATTAAGTTAATCTCGAGATCAAGAAAAAGAGAGGATTAAGCATTAATTCGATATCAACCATTCTAAAGCTCCGAAGACATAAATTTAAGTGGCCCTTCAATTATAAAGCGGCATCTCCAGTTGCAGAAACAGTGTAGGAAATTGTCAAAATCTAACACGCTTAAATAAAGAAAAACTAAATTATCCACCTCCTTGTATTCTGATAAAGGTTTAAAGGGTTCCGTTGTGTATCGGACTTAGACATGCCACTCTAGAAATGTACGTCTATAGTTCCTTTAATCAATAATATTTATAATCTAGGTTTATGTTTGCCTGGCCACTAATCCTGCCGGAGGGTTCAGTTTTAAGAAATCATATCTTAACGGTAATATTTTACACCATTTTATACTGAGGGTAGGTACGAGGGGGAACATTTGCCATTTTTTTGATAAACATGTTCAGATCTTTTCCGGCTTAAAAGTTTCTATGATAAAAATTAAAACAAGAAGGAAGTTTTTTTCTCACTCTCAAATTCATTTCGCGCATCACGTTTTGAATAAATATATTTTTTTTCAAAATTTGTTGATATTGGCACCTACACATCTGTTTTGAGAAACGGAATTTAAATAAATGATAAAACCAGAAAAATTTGTTAAAAATTTAAATTTTTAGTGGACATTTTCCTCCAAAAAAAATTTTAGTGCTCTACATTAAACAATTTTCAAAATTTTAAAAAAACGGGCGATATTTAGTGTTTCGAGGCGCAACTTTAGATACAATTCGCAAAATAAAAAGTCGACCTCCGTTAATGATTTGCAATTTATTTTGTCCCAAGTTTATTTATACAGGGTGTTCCAATTAACATGGGAATTAAGTCACATCCTTTTTTTCGCTATCCAAAATTTGATCAGTTTTCCAGTGCTAGTGGTGTACTAATTGTGTCTCATTGTACAGATTCTAATCAATAATAACAAAACTGTTCGAGTATCAATTATATCTTTGTCAATACAACAAAGGCAGACCACATTTTAAAAAGCTTTTATCACATCACGTTCATGTTAAACCTTTCTCATTTAGTTCTTGTTATTTATCAATTATCCGAAATTATAGACGATTTTCAAGTCGGTTTATAATAAAGTCTGTGTCGGAATGTTTTGAGAATTGAGTAGTTCAAGTAGAGACATGATTGACCTACGCTTGGAACATAATTGACCTATATGCTTGGGACATAATTGTGTTTATAATTGACTATTTTTTAGAATATGACACCCTGAATATTATACAGATTCAAAGAAAAGCCATCTTGAAAGAAGATTCATAATTTTTAATTTTCTTTTTCGAAGAATAAATGTCAAAGAAATATTTCGAGAAAAGAAAATTCTTAAAATCACAATTTTATTCCATTCTTCATATTTCAGGAAAATTCATATTTGATATTTTCTAAAAATTTATTTTCAAAATTCAAGAAAGTCAAGAATTTTGGCGCAAATAACCTACGGCTTGCACACAATGGATCATATTAAAAGGACTGTAAAGGAAAAATGAAAGGTGGTATAGTCTTTAACCTGGGAATCTCAGCAGTTGAATGATATCTATAAAACATCTATCTGATGTTCCTGTCTCGAAAAATTGACATAAAACTGTGTCAAAATTAAACCAAAACGTATATATGTAAGATCACGTTACTAGAACTCCCTCCAATGGCAATGCAGTATACTGGTCACGTGATACAGAGGGGGACACATGACAATAATACTGCACTGTCATTGGCTGGAGTTCTGTTGACATGTTTCGGACGCATAAATAATATTATCAATTATATCTATTAAAAATGAAAAATGATTAAATTTAAACAATAGCAGCAAACTTGAGTTTCTCAGGCTCCTGTGGGATATCGATCGTTGTTTTCAAATTGGTTGTGTATTTGTTAAATGCGTATTTGTTGAATATGATCTGTTTATTATTACGAGTTTTATACAAAACCTTACATATATATACGTTTTGGTATAATTTTGACACCGTTTTAAATCAATATCTCGAGACAGGAACAAGATGTCTTAAATGTCTCAATCAACTCCTGAGATTCTCAGGTTTTATCCTATACCCCCTTTCATTTTTCCTTTACAGTCCCTTTAAAAAACGACTTTATTGATTTTTAAAACATTTATATGAAGGAACCTTATGGTCAGCCCTATCAACAATTTTTTTTTAGCTTTTAGATGAAAACTAAATTATAGAGAAATTATGAGGTTGCAAAGTCAAAATTCTGCATCAAATGGACATCTGCTTTATGCCTGAATTAAAGTTTACGACTTTGTGATGAAGACAAATTTTAGGAATGTGTCCTTTTCATCGTCTTTAGCAACTTTTTTAACTGTAAAATGCCGCTTTTATGGTTTTTGTAATTTGCACTTGAATTGAAGCTGAACTTTGCTGGGTATAATACATAAGCTGCAGCAATTGATAATTTCACAATACATACATTTCTAATGTAAAAATAAGAGCTTTATAAGTTTTATTATATCATAATAAATAGTATTTCTTCCTTTACTCCCATAAATGTTTGATGAAGAGAATTTGTTTGCCGAAATTTTCGCCTTTTTTTCTTTCACGAAACAGTTTAAAGCGAAATTCAGAGAAAAAATTTTCGCAATACAATTTCCCTTTTTCGCTAGAAACCATATGTACACTGTACATATTTCTAGTTGTTCCGTTGTTCTACCTGAACCTGATCCCCATGGTCTCCGGTATCCTCGTCTTCATCCTCATCCTCATCCTCGTCATTGTCGTCACGTGGATCATGAGATCCAGGCAGAAGCTTCTCCTTTCACAATATCAGTCCAGGTAGAGAGTAAAGTCCTAAGGGTTGAAGCTCTCACGGAAATATTTTACTCATGAAAAAAGTATAAGTCAACACTTTGAAATTGACCAAGTCTTAAAATTGATGCAATTTTTTATTTTGAAAGAATACTTATATCTCGGTTAAAAAATCATGTTTTCAATTTCAACATCTCTCTATATGTTTGTAGTTTCCTTTCTACACTTGTCTATATGTTTAGTTCCTATTCTACATATATTTATATGTTTAGTTCCTATTCTACACATATCTATATTTTTAGTGCCTATTCTACACATATCTATATGTTTAGTTCCTATTCTAGACATATTTATATGTTTAGTTTTCTCCACATATCTATATATTTAGCTCCTAATCTACACATTTTTATATGTTTAGTTCCTATTCTACACATATCTATATATTTAGTTCCTATTCTACACCTATCTATATGTTTAGTTCCTATTCTACACATATTTATATGTTTAGTTCCTATTCTACACATATCTATAAGTTAAGTTCCTATTCTACACATATTTATATATTTAGTTCCTATTCTACACATATTTATATGTTTAGTTCCTATTCTACACATATTTATATGTTTAGTTCGTACTCTACCCATATCTATATGTTTAGTTTCTATTCTACACATATCTATATGTTTAGTTCCTATTCTACACATATCTATATGTTTGGTTCCTATTCTACACATATGTATATGTTTAGTTCCTATTCTACCCATATTTATATGTTTAGTTCCTATTTTACACATATCTTTATGTTTAGTTCCTATTCTACACATATTTATATATTTAGTTCCTATTCTACACATATCTACGATGTACCGCATTATACTCCAGTATCCTATACAGATACTATGAGTACTCCACTCTCGATCAGGTAAAAATCAGGTTATCAAGATCTAAGACAAATAAAAATGGTAATTTGGTATCTAGTGGTAAAAAACTTTGTTTAAGTGGTCAAAAATTAGATTATGGTGGTCAAAACAAAATTTGGGCAGTCAAACTTGAATAATTGGGAATGTAGGTCAAACTCTTTATGATGGTGGTCAAAAACTAGATTCTGGTGGTCTAAAAGTTTAAAAATTATATTCTCGTAGTCTACATCTATTAAGAACGGTGGTCTAGTAGTTTTTAAAAACTAGATTCTGGTAGTCTACATCTATTTAGAATGATGTTCTGGTAGTTTAAAAAAACTACATTCTGGAGGTCAAAACCTACATTCTGAAGATCACATTTTGATGAAATTAACAGTATTTTTAAACAAAAGTCTCTAGAAACCGTTGCCATGGGGCAAATTCAAAGATTTATTGAGACATGTAAAAAACAAGAAAACAGAAGGAACATCATAAGTTGTTCATAATACATTATTTGTTAATTTTTTATTAACTTGATTTAATGTTAAGTTTCTTTACTAAAATGTAAGGAAGGTTTGACCTGAATAATCGGTCAATTTGGGTTTAAGTTAAAGATAGAAATTGTACGGTTGTTTATATATTTTTTTATAAATATATATATATTAATTTAAATCATGAAAAGTCTAAAACTATAACTTGCTACATAAGATAAATTGTCTCTCTAGAATAATATTCTGACTATAGAGACAGGGAGGGATTAAACACCTGGTGCCAGAACAAAACTAAAAAGTCAACAAAATTTATTTTATTTTATATTTTACAAATCCTAGGATTAAAAAGGGAAAACTTTAGGTCAAAAACAGGGGAAAATGGTGAAAACTAAATGATCTTTCCGGAAAAAAATTCTGAACTTGAATATTTCATTAAAAAAAGTATTTTTATTCTAATAACATTTCTCTAAAAAACCACGACAAAGGATTTGAGTTTTTGCCACAGGATTAAATATTCTAATTCCTATATCTTTGAAACATGATGGTTGAAACCTTTTCTAATTTCAAAAATCATATTTTAAAATAAATAATTGTAATCGGGTTGCAGAGATATAGTGATTAACAAATTTGAGTTTTTGGCAAGAACTTCAATTTTTTCCCCATTTGCAACTCAATTTAAGTTAAATATATTTTATATAAACAGACTTAAATGATTTTTTTGCAAATTGCATAGTTAGGGAATTAAGTTTTAATTAAAAGTAGAAATCTAGTCTTGCTTTTTAGTCCTTTATATTAAGTAAAAAGTCTAATTTCTGTTGAAAAATGAGGAAACACCCCTTGTTTAATTAGCATAAACCATATCTGGGATTAATAAAATGGAACCATGAACAGAACGAATAAAGAGTTATAGAATTAAAAGAATAAAAAACAAAACTATGATAAAATGATACTCTAAAGGGAAAATTGGAGAGGTGGGGGGGGGGGGGGCTACAATTTTTTTTAATGTTTTTAACAAAGCCACCATTTTTAAACATTTGTAAGATTTTGATGTGATCCTTTAATTAATGAATAAAAAAATTGATTTGCAAAATTAGTTTTTGACCTTAAACGATGAGTGGAAAGATACGTTTTCTTACTTGCCCGTTCTGTAGACATTCACGAGTTACTTTTTTTCTAAAATGGAAAATAGAACTCATCAATTTCAAAACATAACGAAGATATCTAGTAATTTTATTTCTATTAAAGAGATGTAAAAGGATTCGTTTAAAAATCATTTAGATGATAAAATATTTTTATAAACAGTTTAACACAAAACTTCGGGAGACATTGAATGAATCTATAAAATGTCGTTTTCCAAAACTACTCATAAAAGAATGCTGTAGATAATAGATATATTGTTTTTTAGACAAATTATACGGAGATCTTTGAAACTGTTCCCACATATTTCATAGCTTTTTCTTGTTGAATTACTGAAATTTAGGTAGAATAGTATAAAAGTAATAAAACCCATTGAAAAATTGTAAAGACGACATTTTATAAATTCTTTGATTTATCCAGAGTTCTGGGTTAACCTGCATTTTAATTTTAGGCAAAGTCAGACAAATTCTCCTCGTTCCTTGACGTACAGCAACAGGAACCATTTACAAATATAAACATTATTTTGCAAAATAAAATATTTTACAAAATTTTACAAATTTTTTGTAAGTCTTTGTTAAAATTTGGTACTGCCATGTTTTGATGTTTCTGTAACGATAAATTAAAATGACAGGGTGTTAATTTTCTTTAAAATATAATTTAAAAAAACTATTTTTCCTCCAGTTATTTTATCATTTTAATAACTTTTTTAGGGTTTTAAAATATTCTATTTGCTCAATATTGTGAAATTAAATTATCAAAATGAATTTTTGGGTATTAAGGTGTCAAAAAGGATGGAAAAACTTGCCGTTTGATCCCCTTTTTTCANCCCCAAGTATAACAATCAAAGTAATATATACCCCTGTAATATGAACACTCTTTCCTGGACCAATAGGAAGAGAAGATAGTATACATGCTTAGAAATTATACAAAAAGCGGAGCGGACATTAAGTCATCCCAACAATCCTGCAGGGTGTCCCAAAAACATTGGAATTCAGTGACGAATTCGATATCGTCTTTGCTATGAATTAGCATTGTAAGACCTCATTTCAAAAGCCATAATATTATTATGTCTGCTAGGATTTTTTTTTATGAAAAGGATAAAAGACTGTAAAGACGTGTTTATAATGTCTCCGCAAGATGAACAATGAAGACGGACAAGTTTACTCTGTTTGTATACCGCATTTTTCTTGTTTTACTAAGTACAACCGTATGTAGACAAAACATAAACAAACAAAATGTGAACATAGGAGACGAAACTCTTACAGATTACAGCTTTCTCAGTAGGTATCACTATACTAAATCAAAGAATTTTTTAAAAAGACGATATCGAATTCGTCACTGTATTCCCATGTTTATTGGGACACCCTGTACATTTAAAAAAACGAATTTCTCTTATTTATCAAAAGTGAACTCGTTAAACACAATCTATAAATTTATGTTTGAATAATATCCAACACTTTAGATCAAAACTTTTTTATTTTTAGTCTGTTGAAATATGAAGTGTTATTTTATTAAGAAATTAATAATATTTTAAATTTCAAAGGTTCCAATTGATTCTAATTTTAAAAGTATTTAATTTTAAATTTACTTTTTTGCTTTACAATAGAGAGAGGGGGTGGGGGGTGGAAAAGATGATAGGGGGCAATGAATGTAAGGCAAGGAAAGTCATTTCAGTGGTGTACTCATTTTTTGTACTGCAGTGTACTGTCTTTGGGTTCTAATATAAACACAAGAGTAGGGGTGTCACAGCCTGACATGGGATCCATCTTTCAAATAAAAAATCAATGATTGATCAAGGAGGGAGGGATCGGGACAATATGGATCAAGAGGGAGGATCGGAAAAGGTTTTAGACATTTTAATCTAGAATTCTATTACACTTTGATGAACAATTTTTATTAGAAATGTTATCAAAATTAAATGTATTTGATATATGTTGGAACTTAAAAAACTGTAAAATAGAAAGATTGCTTAAATTCCAAAGTGTTTAATGTTTAGAATATCTTAGGGACAAATAAATAAAAATTGTCAACAATAAACTACCAATCAGAAAATATTGGAGTTTATTTTAGAAACGAAACAATTTATTCAAGTCAATATTCTGAACCCCCCCCCCCCTAACTTTAAAATCCCCCCGGAGTAATACTTTATAAGACAGTCATGTTTAAGATTAATGCTAAAAACAAACAAAAAATTCCATCAAAATTTATTAATATTAAGTTATAATTAAAAAAAGTGACAACCTTAATTTTCATCTGAAGGTTTGAGACACATCTAAAATTTGCATAAATATTTTCAATAACTATATTTAGCAAATAGTTTTCTTTAATTTGTAAATCTGGGTGTAGAAGTTTACGACCTGAAACCAAAGAACAATGGGAGTATATGAAGGGATATACAGGTAGAAATGGCTTGTTTTCACTTTTTTGAAAAAACGATCGTTTTGTTTTAAAATCGACGAAGAAAAAGCAAAACGGTTGTTTTTAAAATTTAAAAAAAGTCTTTTTTAGTTTTAGTTCATCGTTTCTTTAACAATGTTAGATCCTTTTTAATTTTTGACAATCGTTAATTCGACCTTTTTTTGAGAAATTACATTTTTTTCAGAACACATTCAGGTTATTCGTCTCGATAAAAAACATTTATGACAAAATTCATAAACTAATTTTCTTGAAAAAAATTTTAATTAATTGTCATAAAAATCAGATTAATTAGCGAATTTTTTTCAAAAACGAAAAACAAAACAAAAAATGATCTTTTCTATCGTATAAAACGATTAACTCCCCTGTATTCAGGATACACTCATACTGATACTGGATACAAGAATACAACTAGTGGATACAACAATATTCCTGCTGGATATAAGAAAACAGTTACCGGATACAATGATTCGATTACAGGATACAATAACAGTGAATATTGTGATATCAAACTAATATAATCCAGGTGAAATTTTTCTAGAATGTTAAAAATATTACCTTATGGAGAAAAAGTAAAAAATAGGCAAATAAATTCTTAAGGAACGGAGTTTTTGCCACAAACCCAAATTTTCTAATCACATCTCAACCTTTATTTCATACTTAGACTTTTTAGGCAAAATTCATTGTTTGAAAGGTTGCAGAGATATAGGGATAAAAAATCAGAGTTCGTGGCAAAAACTCATTTCCTAAGACCCACCCATACAAATTGTAAAATGAAAGACGGCATTTAGGCAATAATTAGTATTTTTGATGTTGTTGTAAAGCAAAAGTTAAAAATATGTAAGATGGGTCTGTGTTCACTGCGCACTGTCTCATGTTCATTGAACTGTTGAAAATCATAACTTGAGTCAAATCACTTTGTCTTTCTATTCCGGAATTTTATTGGCCTCAATGTAAAGAAGTTTATGCTTAAAAGAAGAAAAACGGAGGATAAAAATGGAAATACTACTAATTCTTATTGTTGATAATAATTAAAAAATAAATTTTGAACAAAATAATTGCAGTTAAAATGTCGATAATCATTTATCTTTTTTTCAGACAAAGAAGTGAAGACAGTGAAGTAAACAACTGGAATTTAGATTATAAAGAAAAAATCTTGAAAATTGTCACATTTTTATTTGTGTAAACGTGGAGAAACATTTTAAATTTTACCAGCAGAAAAGCTCAAGTACAATAATCTAAGCTATCAAGAAAAGAATTAAACCTCTCCCCAAATTTTTTTTTATCTCGACAAAGATTAGAAAAAAGTCGAGTGCTGGTATTAAAAAGCATATCGATTAACAAGACTGAACAAAATTGTAAATAAAACTCTTTTAAAATTAATTTCAAATAATCCACCATTTGTACAGCGGCGTTTCCAATTCACAACGGTACCCTTTACACCTTTGTTCAATCAAGGATGATGTTTTGATATTTTTATTTTTAAGGCATAAATTTTAGTTTCTGGAGATTAGAGGATTTATTCTGTGTACAATGCGTCCATAGATCAATAACAATACAGATAGAACACTAGATGTCGTCTTTTCAAGAATTAGAGGTTTTTCGTTCACAATAACCCTAAGGCAGACGTTCAAAGGAGTTACGCGCAGTCGGCGTAGAATTACAAGACACAAAGAGAGCCTGGTCTACATCGACTGCAGTCATCTCATTTGGGCTTCTGCCTCAGGGTTATTGTGTAGGATAAATCCCAAAAATCTTGAGAAAACGACATCTAGTGTCCTATTTGTTATTTTAAATAATCCATGAATATGTCAAACTAACGTTTATTGAAGTAAGATTGAAATATTTTATGTTTTAATCATAATTCTCTTAAATGAAGAAAGGATGTTTTGAATTTCTAATATATAAACGGATACAATTGTTTTCTCATACTTGTACGTAAAATTAAAAGTATAGGAGCTAAGAGATCACAAACTCAGACCAGTAAAGTCACATGAGTTTGACCTTGTTCTTCTATCGAGTTTGCAGTGATACACCATCGGTTTCCATCTTCAGCTTTACAAATACGAATATCTCCGTAAACTTTAATTAGAGAAAGGTATAAACGGTTCTATTGTAGATCGGACACGCCACTCTTCAAATTATCTGCAGTCCCTCCTTTTAAGTTATTATTCTTTTCGTAAATTAATCGTAGAATAATTTAAAAAAAAAAACTAAATAATATTTGAACTAACTGTGATAATTTTAAGTTTAAAGTATATTATTTAACTCCGTACCTCAGAAATTAAATATTTAAAAGGTTTGCTGAAAATAATTAAAGAAAGCAAAAAAAACAATTAATTAAAAACAACTATTAACCTTTCTCTGGAGAAGGTGGAAAAGAATAAATGTGTATAGGANTTTAATCATTTTAACATGTTTTAGAAGAAAAATTAGTTTCCTTTCTGAGCATTAAATTTGTTAAAACTACTGTTATAAATCTTCCAAATTATTATTAAACTTGTTGATGTAAGTGTATAACAATGTACAATACAAATGTTGTTTTTAAAACACTCACATTTTTTAATATAAGATATAAGATAAATAGTTGTTAAAAATACTTTTAACCATCAGCAAAGTTAAGTTTCCGTTTTCTTAACAATAATATTGTAATTTTCAAGAGTTCTGTTATACTGTATTTGACTGTGTAATATTATTTGTAATTATGTACATTTTTATGTACACATAATTATGTACATGAGGTAAATACTTTTGAGTGAAATAGCACTAATCTTCACGCTTAATACTAAGTTTTACTTTTCTCTGCAGTTTACGCCTGACACCTAGGGTGTCCAATCGGAATTCCGTTCTGCGGAATTGCGCTGAATTGTACGCAACTGTACGGAATTACGCAAAACTGTTTTCTTATTGCGCGGAATTGCGAGAAATTGCGCGGAAAGCTGCTTGATTAAAAAATTTACAATGCAAATGTTTGTAACTCTGAAAAAGGTATTATGAATAGTAAATCTTCTTGCTCATAAAAGACTATAAGAGCCACAATTATATCAAGACACCGCCGTCTAAAGTTTTAATGTTTCATCAAGTATACAGAGTAACCTACAAAGGATGAGACTTCAGAGACGACTGTACGGAATTTATACTGTTTGTGTCCTTACATTTATGATTCTCTGCAACTGTAAACTTGTTTCTTACTTTGAGGTTTCATTTTAAAGTCCACAAAAAGAATAAGTTCAAGGAAAAAATTGAAATTGTCAAATATTAAAAGTTTTAAGTTGTTAAATGCAACATTGATTAAAATTTTGTAGAGTTTGAAATAAGTGAAATATGTTTTATTATTTCTAGATTGTTATTATGCATGTTTTTTAACTAACTAATTGGAAATAATATGTTTTGAAAAATGTACAAAGTAATGTAAATTCAATAGAGTCAATCAATAAATGTTATTAAAATAATTCTTCACTGTTATAATCAATACCATTATTATTATTATTATTATTATCATTATTATTATTATTATTATATATTATTATCAAATTCTAATACTTCTAAAATAATCTTATAATTATTAACATGAATGAGGCTTCAACTAAATCCTGTTAAATGAGGGGGAAAAGAAGGGATTAATTTTCTAAATATATTATGCAAATTTGTATTTACTTATAAATTGTATTTATACGGAAATTTATCTTTAAAGTTTTAACTCGTTACCTAGGTAAGTAAGTAAGTAATTTATTCATTTTATTTAATTTTGCTGAAATACTAAAATTTAGGTAAAAATATACATTTTTAAGCATTTCTAAATTTTTACCGAGAGCGAAAATTATGAATTCCAAAGCTAAGCTTTAGCTTAAAGTGTTTGTTAGAAAGGTCAGCCAAATTGTACAGCCTCAGAACAGAACTTGGAGTTCTGTCAAAAAAGTTATGCGTTCGTCACAGGGACCTCCAGCTAGGGATGAATCGTTTGACATTTATGAAAAACTATCGGTTGGTTTTTAAACGAAAGTAGTTCGATTATATAATTTTTGACGATCTTAACGACGACCCTTTGTTAACAATCGTTAACAAAGCTCACATAGATTCAGGCTGCTTATAAACAGTCTCATCAATTTTTAAGAAAGGGTTGACTTTGAAGTGTCGCAACGCCCTGAGCTTAGATTTTACCGATCTAACTCACTTTTGCTTTTCTGTAGCCCTTTACATGGAAATTTTAGCACTAAAAAGCACTTGTTGTTAGCTTTGTTTTTTTAGAAGTAATTGGCAAAATTCTCAACAATTTAAGCTTGAGAGCGTGAGACCATTAAATCGCAGTGAAAGGGTCGTCGTTAACGTCCACTCTTCGTTAAAGACCATAAAATATTCATACTTAGAAAATAACATTATTTTCCTCCTCTCTCCCCCCTTTCAATAGAACTACATTTCTTGCATGCGTTGTTCCATTTGTAAACTATACTTGGAGTTCTCAATCCTCAATACTTTGCACACAATCTAGTATACACATACAAGCTTTGTCAACACATTCTAGTATACACATACAAGCTTTGTCAACACATTCTAGTATACACATACAAGCTTTGTCAACACATTCTAGTATACACAATCTAGTATACACATACAAGCTTTGTCAACACATTCTAGTATACACAATCTAGTATACACATACAAGCTTTGTCAACACATTCTAGTATACACATACAAGCTTTGTCAACACATTCTAGTATACACATACAAGCTTTGTCAACACATTCTAGTATACACATACAAGCTTTGTCAACACATTCTAGTATACACATTCTAGTATACACATACAAGCTTTGTCAACACATTCTAGTATACACATTCTAGTATACACATACAAGCTTTGTCAACACATTCTAGTATACACATACAAGCTTTGTCAACACATTCTAGTATACACATACAAGCTTTGTCAACACATTCTAGTATACACAATCTAGTATACACATACAAGCTTTGTCAACACAATCTAGTATACACAATCTAGTATACACATACAAGCTTTGTCAACACATTCAAAGTTTATAAAACCGGGCATTTTATTTTTAAATTAAAAAATTTTATTCTATTTAAGATTAGATTAATTAGGGGATAAAGGGTATTTAAAGAAGAGGAGAAATTATAATTTATAAAACAATTTTCACTGCTATGGCCAAAGTTGAAAAATAAAAGGCAATATATTTCTTTTAACTCAAAATTTTTAAAGTTCATAACAATCTTTTGTATACTAATATTGAACAGCTCAGAACAACTGCTATTTTAGGGTCTTTCGACTTAATTTCTGGTGTTTTCCATTAATATCATGGCATTCCAAATCACCGCATGTTGATTCATTTCAAGGTTATAATGCAAGGAAAGTCAATTGCTGTTGCGTATACTCTGCGTACATATTGAAACCAGTTCTCTCTGGGTGGAATGAGTAAACAAGAATAGATGCATCAGTGTTCATTTAGTATCCGAGGAGGTTAAAAGCATTAAATTTTTCTATGATCAGAATATTTCATTGCTATT